TAAATTAGGTTTTCTAATAAGTATTTTTTTACAGGTGATTCTGGCTACCCACAGCGACCATGGCTAATGACGCCTACTCATTTTGGATGCGGTAGAGGGAACTCCGGGCCACAATATACTGCGGTAAAAGAAGAAGAGGTGATGCTTGTGCAAATACCGCACTCTGAATTATGCTCCTGAAAAATGTGCTTGACAACGGCTTGCTGCGTGTTGCATAATTTGGTCATAAATTTCAATGTGCCTGAGCCACAGGTAGATACAACAACAGCTGAACATCAAGACTTGTCTCATACCTCATCTTCTGTTATGAGACATGAAAATGATAGAAGCCATGATTTGATAAGTGAAAGGGCTTTAAGGAATATTCTGGTACAGCAAATAAATATACTACACAGATGACCCAAGTGTTTTATTATTATACATTTCCAAAACATCTTACACACTAATCTAACTTAAAAACTATTCTTACCTATGTTTTTATAATAGGTAACTATAGTGAGACATTTTAAATTCAATTCTAACATAATCTTTCCTCATTCCAAAATAAAGTAATATACATTAAAATTAAAATTAAAATAAAATATGTAAATATACATTAATCATCTTTTTAACTAGATTATATTTTAATACATTTATTGCCTCTCTCATAAGTTCCAGCCACTGAGCCTGTAAAAGGAGCTCTGCATCTCTCTGTCTTACTCTTCATTCTTCTCGTCGTAATTCCAAACGCTCTTGTTCCATTATATCATATTTTGATGGGTGACGAAGGGTGTAGACACAATAAAAGACTGGCGACGACTAACTTATGTATTGTCTCTTAGCACACGACAATTTCACACAGGGTGTTCGGACAGACTGCCCATTGCTTATATATTTAAGTACGTACTAAATACAAACATAGCTTACGTTACAACATTACACATCTTTAGTATACGTTACACCGTTACACTACTCCCCCCTCTTTTTTAAAAGAAACACTTCTTTTACAAAACAAACCCGAAAAAAAATTTTTTTTTAATTATCACTTAACATAACATTACAGCTAAAATTATTACAATACATTCACTATTATTATAAAGTACACATTTGTTTTACAGTTGTCGGAAATTTGATAGGTTTTACACAAATACACTCACTTAAACCACTGTCAGACCTTGACTTTAAACTTCTTCATTTTGGGTGGTTTCAGCAGTCTGCTTTCGTCTAAAACTTTTACGAGCCGCTTCGAAAGCGGTCGACTGCAGAGATTGCATCTGCTTGGTCAACCAACTTTTCCATGTACCGATACACCGACGAAAAATTAGGCATAAACATCCTATGCCTATGAGCGCCAAAATCGAAGACCAACCAATGAACGTCATTAGATTTGCGTCGTAGCCTTTGTTCGTCTGGGGAGCAACAAGGGCTGCGGATTTGACCTCGTCCTTGACTACGTAGTTTCCCATGACTAAGTATGATACGTTATGTCAGACAGAAGTCAGAACTAATATTAACTTATTACTATATACTTACTTATAAATCGAAACGTACGGGTCTTTTGCTGACTCGACCGCTGCGCGTTGTATGTAAAGGTGGGTTTACATTAGCGGGCGCGGAGCGATCCTTGCTAACCGGCGTTATAGGACTCGGACTTACGTTTATTTCTCTATTATCTAACTTATTGCTATTACTTACCGTATTGCTCGATATTGGTTCTTTGCACAAATATGCGGGTTTGAGTCGATCAATAGATATATATGCCGTCCGACCTAAGAAATCTATCAGATACGTCTTATCTTTTCTATCTAAGACTCTAAAGGGACCATCGTAGGGAGGTTCCAAAGGTCTCCTCACTCTATCATTTCGAACAAATACGTGTGTGCACTTATCTAAATCCGCGTATACGAATAATGTGCGAGCGTCCTTATGTCGCATCGGTTTCGGTTTCAAGTTCGTAATAATGTTTCGTAATCTTTCTACATATTGACAATGATCTAAAATTGTATAGTTTGCGTCACTACAAAAATCTCCAGGTAAACGTAATGCAGTGGCGAAAGTTAATTCTGCAGCACTAACACCAGTATCCTCTCGAATGGCGGCACGTAAACCTAGCAAAACTATTGGTAATTCGTCTACCCAAGTAGTTGAGTTTAGCCTTGCCATAAGAGATGCTTTTAAAGAACGGTGCCAGCGCTCAATCATCCCGTTCGACTGCGGATGATAAGGCGTAGTTCTCCTCCTATCAATGCCTAAATATCGCATGAGTTCTTTAAAAATGCTACTCTCGAATTGTCTGCCCTGGTCGCTTGTCAGCTTAACAGGACATCCAAAACGTGCTATCCATCCCTCTAATATCACTTTAGCCACAGTCTCCGCTGTGATATCCTTTGTAGGATACGCTTCGGGCCAACCCGTTTGGCGATCTATTATAGTAACTAAGTACCTATAATCATGTAGAGAAGTGGGTAAGGGGCCTACGATATCAACATGGATATGAGAGAATCGCTCTGCTAGTGGAAAACGTCCTAATTCAGTTTTTATATGCCTGGATACTTTTGCACGCTGACATTTAACGCAATTTTTTGCCCATTTGCCTATGTCACTATTCATCCCGTCCCAGAAAAATCTTTCCTTGACTAATTTTCGCGAAGTACGGATTCCTGGGTGACTTAAGTTATGCACTGATTCGAACGCTTGCCTCCTAAAGCTTATCGGTATATACGGGCGAACCTTATCTGTTGACGTTTCACACGTTACCGGTAGGTCGCTTCCAGGTATCACTATGTCTTTGAATATTAAATTACATTTGTTATTGTTACATTGATTGCGCATTAAATCCAAGTTTGCATCGTTAGCTTGCGCTTGGGCGATCGCGGCGTAATCTAATGCTGTAGCACATGTTATTGTTTCTAACCGCGATAATGCATCTGCTACGACATTCTTGTCGCCATCTATATGCCTTATGTCAGTAGAGTATTCACTGATATAGAGAATTTGCCTAACGCGACGCGGTAATTCATTATCCGAATTGGACTTTTTGAACATGAAGGTTAATGGTTTATGATCCGTATAAATAATCAAATGTCGTCCTTCAATCATATTCTGAAAATATTTAATGGCTAAATACATTGCTAGTAGTTCTCTATCAAATGTACTGTATTTAGTTTGCGGAATTGACATTTTCTTTGAAAAATAGCCTAATGGTATCCATTTATTGTTTACAAACTGTTGGAGAACGGCTCCCACGCAGGTGTTGGATGCATCAGTCATAAGCGCGAAAGGAGTATCGGGTTGCGGGTACGATAACGTCACGGCGCCCTGTAGCGCTGCCTTACACCGTGAGAATGCCTCGTTTGCACTTTCTGTCCATTCTATTCGTGTTCTGTCTTTTTTCTTTGATTTAATTAAGTATTTATTTAAATGACTTTGATATTCTACTGCATGAGGTAAATGTAAACGATAAAAATTAACCATTCCTAAAAATCGTCTAAGCTGTTCGATAGTTACTGGTTTTGGAAAACTATTTATAGCATCCATTTTCTCCTGTAGAGGTCGAATACCTTGCGTGGAAACTTCGTATCCTAGAAAATCTATTTTCGTTTTACCAAACTGACATTTTTCTAAATTTATAGTTAAACCAAATTTATTTAAACGACTGAAAACTTCGCGTAAATGCTGTTCATGTTGAATTTCACTTTTGCTAAATATTGCGACGTCATCGATATAGCAGTAAACGTAATCTAAACCATATAGGACTGTGTGGTTCATAAACCTTTGAAAGGTTTGCGCGGCGTTCTTTAGCCCGAATGTCATTCGGGGAAATTCAAATAAGCCAAAAGGTGTGATAATGGCAGTCTTTTCCACATCGTCAGGATTTACTGAAATAAAATGATATGCACGACAAATATCAATACGTGAAAATATTTTCGCGTCAGCTAGAGAGTACGTAAAATCGTGTAGTCGTGGGATAGGATAACGATCAGCTTTGGTTATTGCGTTAAGCGCTCTATAGTCCCCGCAAGGACGTAACTGACCATTTTTCTTCATGACAATGTGTAAAGGACTTGCCCACGCACTCTTAGACGGTCTGCAAATCCCCAACTCCTGCATTATTCTAAATTCTTCCCTTACCTTAGCGTAGCGATGAGGCGGCAATGGTCTGCATCGTGCGTGTACTGGCGGGCCGCTGGTTTCTATGAAATGCAACACCGAATGTTTTGGTGGCTCTTTTAAAGAAATAGGTTTAGTAATATCCGGGAATTCAGAGAGCAGATCATGATAAGGATGACTTACATCGACGGTTTTGATTGATGACTCGTTACTACTTACTATGGAAGCCAGGACTTTCAATTTTGTGACTTCGTCAATTAATCTACGAGCACTTATATCCACTAAAAGCTTAAAGTTCGCTAAAAAATCGGCACCTATAATAGGCTGATGCACATCGGCTATCACAAATGTCCACCGTAATGCACGACGTAAACCTAGATCTAACACTAAACTTTTGACACCATAAGTCTTAATTTTAGTTCCGTTGGCGGCGAATAGGCAATAGTCTTGACACTCACGATTTTGATTGTTTTTTAATACTAATTTACCGGGTAGCACTGAAATATTAGCACCGGTGTCTACTAAAAAACTTAACCCGCTGTTGCGATCCGTGACTCGGAGGAGGTGGCAAGGGGCGATGGTACAAACCTCCGCCGCGGTTGGTACCTGAACTAGTTTTCCGGAGACGATTTCCAGGAACAGGGCTCATTGCATTTCCTTGCCTTTGCTCTGAACCGATGATGGTAGAAACATAACCAATCTGGGCTTTCAGGAGTTCTACGCTGCGCAGATCGTGCTCGGCCACCGGTTCTGGATGCTGATCTCGAACGATTCCAATTCCGTTGCTGAGGCCTCGATCTAGACTTCGACCTTTCCAATTGATCAATTTTCAGAGTAAGTTTAGCTATTTCGGCCATGATGAGGTCTGTTTCCTTCGAAGGGTTTGACTGTTGCTGGCTAACTTCGCTTACATGGGATGCGCGCGTGGTTTCAAACACATTATCTGCTACGACGGCCAAGCTATCGAGATCCTTCGAATCTGTGACCGCTAGAACTGCTCGTACCGGAGACGGTAGATGACCTTGCCACATCATCTTTAAGGTGTCGTCGGGAATTTTCTCTTTGGCTAATTCTCGCATGCGACGTAAAAGCTGGGAAGGTTTTTGGTCCCCCAGGTCCATCTCACTAATTAATTTTTGTAGCTGACGGTTTTTCGATTCTTCATAAATAGTTAGAAGTCGTACCTTCAGTGTGTCGAATTTCTTTCCTTCTGGTGGATCCATTAAAAGATCTGTGACCTGCTGTATGGCCTCTTTTGATAGTTTCGACACGACAATGTCGAAGCGCGAGTCGTCCGATAATTTTTGAGGCGCCAGCATGGCTTCTATTCGGTAGAACCAAACGCGAGGCGAGTCAACCCAAAATTCGGGGATCTTCGATGTAAGAGTAATTGCTGCGAGATCCACTGATGGTTCTGGTGTACTTTTAGCCATGTTGCTCACTGTCTACACTAACACAATTGCCGAAAAATGATCACGTCGGGGTCACCAATTTGATGGGTGACGAAGGGTGTAGACACAATAAAAGACTGGCGACGACTAACTTATGTATTGTCTCTTAGCACACGACAATTTCACACAGGGTGTTCGGACAGACTGCCCATTGCTTATATATTTAAGTACGTACTAAATACAAACATAGCTTACGTTACAACATTACACATCTTTAGTATACGTTACACCGTTACAATATGTTTCCTCACGCTCCCTAGCAAACTCCCTGGGTTTCTTATCATTCTCTAAACACAATTTGATTAAACTCCCTTTACATTTTTGTTTTCGGTCGAGGCTTCCAGCATTCCTTTTCTAATGGAGGATTGGCGACTGGTGGTATCGGTGAACGGCTGGCTTCATGGGTACTGCGGAGTGGTCGGAACACTGAAGGCTCGCTGCTTGTCACTGGCATATTCCATGAAATCCACCATTAATTCGTATTGGAGCCGAGTCCTCCTCATTTTAAAATAAATTTAAAGTAACCGCATAATAAGATAGCCGCATAATTACTTATCTACATTCTTTGTTTTGTTTGTTAAAAAAAATACGTCAATAGCCGTCAAATGTCACCTTTGTCAAAAGAACGTTCGGAAATCGTAAATTAGGTTACAAAATTTAAATAACCAAATAATATTTTTTTCAAATATAAAGTCATTTTATATACTTCTTGACTCGTTTTAAGAATTCTTTCACGTAATATATATTTTTTCATTTAAATATAATACCATAAAAGGTGTAGACGAAGGTTGAAATATGTTTAAAATTAATTTAAGTTTTCAGACGAAATCTTTATGTTAAATTATGTTCAAGAATTCATTCAATTCGTTCACTTGGGTGCTTCTCTAGCTTACATTAGCATGACGTCACTAACGAATTCGATTCGAGCTCTCGCTAGACGATACGATAGGCTTCGTGCTGCGACATTCCGTTTTCGTCACATGAAGTATCGACGTCTCGATACGTTAACGTTACGATTACGATAGTCATTCGTGCTAGGCACTCTGGCGTGCATCAACGCTTGCTTTTTGTTTCACTGTGTAGTTGAGGTTACTAGAGACCCCATCCTTTCCACCCTACCATTTACCTGATCCCTGTATCCTCCAATCCACAAATACCTAACCTCATTAAAATAATATAATATTTTTGAATTTTTCTTAGTGTAGGTAAGTTTGAACAGTCGACATTTATAAATGGATCCAAATATTTTCTTGGGGCTTTAAAGGTTTCATTTGAAAGTTGACACTGAAAAAAAAAACAGTTTCAATAATATTCTGTAAAAGTAACTCTGTCTGTCTTTTCTTCACGCTAAACTACTGAACCGATTTCTGTGAAATTTGATACAGACATAGTTTAGAACTCAAGAAAGGACATAGAATAGTTTTTATACCAAAAAATTGGAAGTCAAAAGCTACTTAGTTATCATATATTTATTTAATAACGAAACAATAATATTATAAAATTCTGTAAAATATAAAATTGATTTAAAGGTTTCATTTTGTTTCCAACTTTTCTTTAGCTAGTTAAGATTTTCAGAACTTCATACCTAAATAGATGAACTTTGAAAAATATTCAATTTATAAAACTTTGTTTAGCAGTTTTGTAAGTAAAATAACCTGGTTGATTGTTCAAACACTATTCTTTGAAGAGTTTAATAGAAATGTTAATACAATTGTAGCAGTTTTGCATTTTTCTATATTTTAAAATTAGCAATTTCTAAAAAATGCGTTATTTCATCTTATCTATTAAAAAAAAACACATCTCTGTTTATATTATTAGGAAATGTGAAGAAATTAAGTATTGCTCTTTGTAATTCCAAGACCATATAATCTGAATTTACCCCATGAAACCAGAGTCAATTCTAATATCTAATAATAAATTTATTCATAAATCACTTTTAACTCTAATAAACCCATATATCGAAACTAAAAAGTACCTATAGTATAATTATGTATATGTATTTCAAATCCATTTCGGTTGATTACATCAGATTCTTCAAAATTTTGAGTGCTAAAATAATACAATTTTCACGAAGCAAAATCTACCAGGAACCGATACTTGGTTTTTTTTGAAGACGGGATATCATCAAGTACTTCTCTCGCCCAGGATATGGCGAGAGTCTCAGACTCTTACTGACTAAAAACTCCCTCGTGTCCTCTTCTGCTTCAGGCCGAGGCCGCGGTGCTTTATTCATCATCATCATCATCATCAGCCTATAAGTGCCCACTTTTGAGCAAAGGCCTCTTCTCATACAGAGAAGGTTAGAGCATTAATCACCACCAGAAATTATAAGTCCAGGTTTCCTCACGATGTTTACCTTCACCGTATGTCAGTGGTGTCTAAATAATCATAGAAAGTACATACTTATAACTGAGAAAAGTCACATAGGTACTTGCCAGGTTTCGAACCCACACCCTCATGCATGAGAATTAAGCGGGCGCCTTAACCTCCTGGCCACCACGACATTCCGTTTGACTTAAACTCGGCTAATATTTCAAACAAAACCAAATAAGCAAGCGACTTTTTCAGTATCTCATTTCAACGCTAATGCGTTTCTATAAATAACAGAAAGAACTGATACTTACAGAAACCTTTTCTTCCTTATAATATTCCAGCACTTTTTGTAGGTACATATTTAGACGCCATTTTTTTTTTGTCGATTTACAAGACGATGTCATCAATATGGAAGGTTACTGATAAATTTCTTTGTGCTCCAATGTTCACGCCTTTATTGTGTTTTTCTTAGCTTATTTCTTAAAGCAGATTATTTCCACGGTGTGTAGGCATTAGATATGTATGTGAGTTCATTATTATGCGCGATATTAACATCATTGCGCGAAATACGGCGCAGCCAACGTCGTGAAGCCCACTTTTTTTGTCAGGGGAAAATCATCAAATGGCTTCTCCCGCCCAGGGTTAGGTTAGAGAGAAGGAAGAGACTGTCAGACTCTTACTGACTAAAAACCCCCCGTTCCTTCTCCTGCTCTGGGCCGAGACCGCGGTGACTCATTGCGTTTAACCCGCAACCTGGCTGAGTCGTAAAGCTCACTGAGTGTTTTCTCTAAGCCTTTAATGATTTTGTTAGTCTGCCTGTGACTACGATGAAATAATGCAGGTACTCATAAGCCTCCTAATATAAACCGATAAATACGTTCACTTCTTTTTTTATGGTATAGAAGGCAAACGAGCAGACAGATCACCTGATGGTAAGCGATCGGCGCCGCCCATGGACACCTGCACTAGAAGACTCACAGGTGCGTTGCCGTAACTTTTTACCTATTATACTACCTACAAGCCTTACAGCAAGGCGCCTGCTAATATATTAAGTCATATCTAAGTTCAAATTCCCCTTTATTATTAAAGGTTTCTTTTACCCCTTAGCTGGGGTCGCGGGTCAAGCGCAATATGGCACCGCGGCATGGAGCAGAAGAAGGAACGGGGGTTTTAGTCAATAAGAATCGCCAAACCCCGGACGAGAGAAGTTATTTGATATTTACTCAAAAAAAGTGTCTTTTACATAGGAATGCAGAACAATTAACCATCGTGACTACACTAACAAATAACTACGAAATAAAACTTTACTGTTATAATTTATTTTATTTTTCTTCCCTAGACTATTTCTTGAATTTAGAGGAGAAAAATAAGAATAACATGTAAATAAATAAAGAAACCGGAGCTTTCTTACTTGTAAATGGAACGAAATATCAGGTAAGTAAAAACAATTTATTTAAATAACAAAGAATCAGTAAAATAATGGAAAAGGAAACAACATAAATGCTAGTCTTATTTTATGTTAATAGCTAAAATTCTAAGACATTCTTCTTTGTTTCAAACTGTTTACAATAAGCCACAGACAATTTATGACAGAACTCTTTAAGCTATGGTAAGCTGGAGCAACTCTTGTATTTTAAATAGTATCCTTATTATAAACGTTACATAATGTTTCAAATAATAGTCTACGTTTGTAATTTACGTGATAATTTTGTGATCCCGTGTTTCGAGAGGTAATACCCATAAATCATTTTCGCTCACTGTGAAAACCTTGAACATTTTAAGGTACCTATTTAATACATAACCTTTGAAGCAATCGTAATATTTTAGAAATTACAATAATTCCTTTTCAAGGCGAAGCTTTGAATAATTATATTGTAAATCATGAAATTTCTTGAAAGTTACATGTTAAGTATTTTAATTTAGGTACTTTTCGATATTTTCTAAAATAATGTAAAAGGTATTTATTTATGTACCATCACCACTTACTCAGTTAGTGTTTAGCGGACCTATTTAAACATACCTACATATATTTCTCGGCCACCATGTCTACATTAATATTGTATGAATCACAAATATAACTATTTATAACTTCACTATGACATTAATCCTTGGTACCTACGCAATATAACCGACACACCTAACAGCACCATCCCTTAATTACTTCCCGGTGTGGGACTTTAATGGCCGATATATTAACTCAACCTATTTGATACATCGATCCGGAACTAGGATCATCTACATCAAATCACCAGACCCGTGAAGGACGCTTCATACATCAATAAGTATTTAATTGCCCGTAATTGGTTTCTGGGTCGGAGATTAAGGTTGAAACCCTCACAAAGTACCTGTGTGTTTTTCCAAGCTATATCTCTGTACAGCTCTGTACTTACTATTAAGACGTAAGGGGGTAATATTTAGAACCGCTGGTTAGATTTCCAAAATTCTTGAACTGATAATATAGCTACAATGTTCTTTACTGCTATAGGCTATAAATTATACGTATATTGATAATAGTAGTGTGTGTATAGGTATTGCATAAAGCGCTGCTGTTTTTGAAATTCCCGGGAAACATTACTTTTATACAAATGCGAAGCCGCAGGCGGAAGCTAGTAGATATCATTATCATTTTAATATGTAGTGATTGAAAGCACGGTAAGAGAACCAGATTA